GCTTTTAAACTAATATAGGTGCTAAAAACTACAAAGTACATTTTCTGTCAGTTGGGAAAAATTTGAAGTGATTTTTATCAGATATTATCAATCAATTGTAAATATCCTGAGTGCAGTAATGTTGTTGTGGTTATGTAGGAAAACGTCCTTTTTCACAGGAACATGGAAGTTGAACAAAAGCATTTTAATCAAGTGAGATAAGAGAAGGTTAAGTGGCACCCCCTTTCTCCACAGAAAAGTCTTAACTGGGCTTCTCCAGAAATCTTCACCATGGCTGATTTTAGGACTGTCTGCAGAAGAGTTCAATGTAGATAAACTTCCTATTTTCATGTTGCCCTATCTTACTTGGCCACTGGCCGGGAAGAAATCAGCACTCCAGGTGCTGGACATCCCTTACTAGTTTTTCACAAACATATCCAGTATAGTAGTTTGTATACCAATTGGGCTCCATGGTAACAGCTGGCAGGGGGAGGACAGAAAGGGGAGAAGCTTTCCCCTTCTCAAGTGTTGTCCTTGAAGGGTTAACTTTCCCAAAACAGTGAAAGGAGAAGCTGCTTTTATGTGAACTTCTGTAGACTGTGAACTTCTGAGCCCCTCCCCTTACATACTGGGTATAAAACTCTGAAACTATCTGAACTTGGGGTTCAGGGGATTGATTGATTACAGCAAAAGCTGTGCCCTCTGAACCTGACTGCAGCCAAATAAAACTGTTTCCTGCTATCTTCGGTGCCTTGCCTCATTTGTCCCTACAACAAAGGCATTGATGAATTGAGGTTGAGGTTTTCTACCTCCTCCCCAGTATAACCATCTTTAGCCAGGATGAAACTTCTAATGCCAGAAAACCTCCACCTGGACCCCTTCACACATGGACCTTTCCTCAAATGGTGTTGGGGGACAATGTGACTGGTGGAATGAAGCAGAAGATAATGAAAAACAAACATGAAATATTGGGGGGAAAGAGTGGTTCATGTGTGACAGGGGAATATTATACTGGGGAGGAGGCAGAAATCTCCAAAACTAACTTCAGGTGAGGCTTGATTTAGTCATCAAGCACTATGTCCAGGATTGAGCTTCCTCTTTCCATCTCTTGGATCTATTTCAAACTGTGGTTGATTGTCCCATATCCAGTCAGTATTTATCTTTCTCTCTCAGTTTTCCAGGGCTACAGCCTTTCAGATTTGTGTCCAGTGAGGGGTGTTGGGGGAGGTGGGGTTCATTTCCCTATTACTTAAACAGAAGTCCAGAAAATTGGCCATTAGTTGAGCTGGGGTTACCTTCCTGCTTGAGCCAAAGTATGCTAGAAAAAAGAGCCTGAGGTAAGAAATACTGTTTTGTTTTCTTAACTTGGAAGGTGCAAACCCATAGCAGAAAAGAAGAGAGTGAAACAAGCAACAACATAAAGCAAATTGAAGTGGTGTTGCTGCACCGGCCATTACTTCAGTTGAACTGTAATTTTATAAAATTTATATCTTTTATTTTACTTTCTGATCTAAAATCCTATAAGATAAGGTCTACCTTTTTGGTTTATTTTATAAATTCACCCAGGAAGGCACAAATTTTATGCAGCGTATAACATACCATTCCCTGATGATACATGGGAGGCCAAACAGAAGATAACTAAACAAAGGAGCTGGGCAGAAAGAAGAGGAACTTACAGGGTTGAAGACTAAAACCCATGAAATAGTGTAGAATATTTGGGGGACCATAAGATCTTTATGGCCAAGCAAAGTTTGGTTGGGTGGAAATTTGGAAGCTTCTTCCAGAAAAAATAGGCAGCGCTGTATATCAAGTGTTCTATAGTTTAAAATTTGACCTTTATTTTTAAGTTATGACAAACCATTGAGGGATTTTAAGGGATAAAGTGGTTTAATATGTGTTCTAGAATGATCATGCTAGCAGCAGTGCAGAGAATAAAGAGAGGAGTACAGATTAGCTATGGGAAAAACTAGTTGGTAATCTACTTATGTCATTAGGAGGGGCTAAGAACCTGATTAAAACTTTGGATATGGAAATGGAGAGAAGAGAGGCTGAGGAGATTCTAACAGAATATACTGTACTTGGTGACTGATTGGGAGAGGTAGTGGATGACAGGAAGAAGTTTCAGCTATCTTAGAATTGGATTGATGGCAGTACCCCTTCTGGGTTAAGGGATACAGATTTTATTGAAACAATTTTGATTTGAGTTTTCAACATGTTTACTACAGGATATCCAAGTGGCAATATCCATTGTTCTGGAACTCAGGATGAGATTTCTAAGATAGAGATGCAGATGTTAGAAGTCTTAGAATATTAATGAGATAAACTAAATAATGTGTAGAGATGAGAAAGTGCTTAATAACATGGTCCTGGAGGAGGGTGTATTGGTGATTGGCAGAGGGACAAGTGCCTGTGAGATAGAGAATGAACAAGCAGATGCAACAGGTAAGCCAATAGGTAGGTTCTGAAGCATAACATAGGACCTCCTAAGGCAGTCATAGATGTAAGAAGTAAACTCTTGCATCAGCAAACAGTGGCTACGTTCAGCCAGTTAAAGGCAGGTATTTGGAAAGCTAGAGTAACAAACTTTGAGGAAAGATGGTCAAAAATGTAACTGAGGGCTAGGGTTGTAGCACAGTGATAGAGAACGTACCTAACATGTATGAGGCACTGGGTTTGATCCTCAGCACTGCACATAAATAAAAAACAAAGGTCCATTGACAAATTTTATACACACAAACTTTTTTTTTTTTAAATGTGACTGAGGGGCTGGGGTTACAGCTCAGTGGCAAAGCATTTGCCTAGGACTTGTGAGGCATTGAGTCCTATCTTCAGCACCAATAAAAACAAAACAAAGGTATTGTGTCCTTCTACAACTAAAAACATTTCTTAAAAATGTAACTGAGGACCTGGGTAATTAAAAAAGAGGATTCCCATCTCTTCTTCATCTATAAAGTCAGTGTTCTAGATTAGGTGAGCTGCTAGACTATTTCCAGTTCTAAAATCCTGATTCTCTGGGCAGGCACTGAAGAATGGGTAGGATTTGGAACTCTATGAACATGAACCTTTTCTTCTAGGAATTTCTTTCCCTTCCAGACACTACTCCATCCACATTGTTCCAACGGTAGCTGAGATCTCTGCCAGCAGTTTAGGGGTGGGCACCTGACCTAGCTGGGCAAATAACGTTTCCCCCGGGGAAGGGAAGAAAAAGAAGGCAGCTTTTCTCTATCTATACAAAACATGGAGCTAATGGTAACTGGGATTTGTAATCAGCTGTTATATGTGGTGTGTGTTGGGGCAGGGGAGGGGAGTAGTACAGAATGAAGATATAGAAGCAGAGATGAGAGATGGAGAGAGAAAATGACCTGGATTTTCCAAAGTGCTCCTGGTCTCAGTTCACTGTTAGCAAGTAGTACAGCTCCTGAATTTCATGATACACTAAGATCTAATATCTAATATCCTCCTTTGAGACTTATACTAACCCTTCTTGATTTGTTATTTGCAACTCAATCGAGTCTTACTATACTGATATTAGAGCCCATATGGGAAGCAGAAAAGTAAATGGGAAATGAAACTAAAAGGTAGGACTATATATAATAGAGGATCCTGACAAGGTCTAGATTATAAATGGAGTAGTGGTTGGGTGGTGAGAGCTAAAAGAAAATTCATTGACACAGAATCACTAAAACACTGAAAACTAAGCACAGAATTACAGGTCTTGGCCTTGGTGTTCATCTTTCATAATCTAAAAAGCAATGTTAAATAATTCTCATTCGTTAATGCTTTTTAACTAGAAAGTCACGTCCCTACTGTCTCCCTCCATGTGTTAAATTTGCTAACAGAATCGTCCTGTAAAATGCTACACAATGTACAGTCAGTCATCCATGGTAGACCCTGCCATTAAGTACCCTTCCTTGACTGTCAGCTCGTCCCCCTTCCAGGTGGAGGGGTTGCAGCCAATATTATATTCATCAAGGTAAGTAGTCCAATCTCTTTAAAGGGAGGTACCAGGCTCAAAAGTCAAAGAGTGAAGCAATTGTTGGAAAGATGCCTTCTCCTTTAGCTGAAATAAAGATAAGGTTTCCTTACTGGAACTGGAGATGGCAAGTGCTGCTGTTTCTGAGAGATATAGCTCAGCTAGTAATTATAGGCCATGTGTCAAAATATAGAATGATGCTTCTTTGATGGATGACAAGGCAACTGGTCCAGGAGATGCTTCAGCCTCAAAGAAGGCTCTTTTAGTTTTGCATTTTGCTAGAAATCAAATAAATTGGTCCAAGCTCTGTGAAGGACTGTTTGCTAATACATACCCCCCAGATGTAGAAATCCCAGTTCTAGGAATTTGCCCTACCTATAAAATTTGCATGTGTAATGAACATATGTAGAGCTATTCATTGCAATTGTATAAACAATTAGAAATAACCCAAGTCAATCCATAGTGAACTGGCTAAAATATATTCATACATGAAATATTAAGCAGCTCTAAAAAAGAATGATTCAGTGCCTTATATAGTGGAGTGACCCCCATGATATATTAAGTAATAAAAGTAATGTGCAGGTGTTTTTGTACAGGAGGCTGCTGTTTATGTTTAAAAAGGAAAAGTATATTTGCATTATTTTGATTGTAGATAAAAATCTGCAAGGGTGCACAAAAAAGTTATAAAAAATGGTTGCCTCTAGGTAACAGAATTATGTGGTGGGAAATGTGGAGGAGGCTTTTCATTGTATATAACTGCACTTTCTGAACTTCATATCATGTGAACACTTTCCCCATGGGAAAAAAATTTTTTAATCTAAAAAATAAGAGTGATGGTATTTTAGATAGTATTTCCCAAATGCTGGACTGTAAATCAGTGAATTCCCATGAGGAAATAATTTATTAATCCACCATGAAATCAGGAAAAATTATGTTGTAAATATTTCATGATACTTAATTTATTTAATTTGAAGAACCATATTTTAAGTATTTTGTATAGAAGTGTCAGTAGGTATTAATGTAATGTTTATTTACACAACAGGCAAAATTTAAAGTTACCATCATTAAATCAACTTCTCAAATTTATTTGAGTCCTGAAATTTTAAAGCTAAGAATCACTGATTCAGATGTGGCTTTTGTTCTCATCAAATAAATATTTTTTTACACATTACTTCGGAAGGCATTCCGCCTGTGTATTTCATGGTGTCGACTAAGTGATGAATTATAGCTGAAGGATTTTCCACATTCATTACATTCGTAAGGTTTTTCTCCAGTGTGATGTCTCTGATGTTTCTTAAAGGATGAATCATGCCTGTAGGCTTTCCCACAGCGGTTGCATTCATATGCTTTCACTCCCGTATGGACAGTTTTATGGTTGTTAAGATGTATCCTCTGTCTAAATGCTTTTCCACATTCCTTACATTTGTAGGGTCTTTCACCAGTATGTATTCTCTGGTGATGTGTTAGATATGCTCTATGACTAAAGGTCTTACAACATGCAGTACATGCATAGGGCTTCTCCCCAGTATGAATTCTTACGTGTTCACTAAGGTGTCTAACCTGTCGAAAGGTTTTCCCACATTCGTTGCAAGTAAAAGGTTTCTCTCCAGAATGAGTCTTTAGATGTTGGGTCAAGCTAATGTTCTGGCTGAAAGCTTTCTGACATTTGTCACATACATAAGGCTTCTCCCCAGTGTGAGTTCTATGATGCTGATTAAGAGATGAGCGATGTCTGAAGGCTTTGCCACACTCCTCACATTCGAAGGGTTTCTCACCAGTATGGATCCTCTGGTGTGTATTAAGAGATGCACTTTGACTAAAGGCCCTTCCACATTCCTTACATCTGAAAGGCTTCTCGCCAGTATGAATTCTCATGTGTTCAGTAAGATGATTGGGTTGTTTGAACATTTTTTCACATATATTACATTCATAGATTTTTGCTCTTATGCAACTTATTGGATGATTAATCAAATCTAATTTGTATTTTTTCCTCTTTCTAGGTGTGTCACATTTATGATGCTTCTGTTCCAAAATATTTGAACTCACAATAGTTTTCCCGTATTTGTGAACATCTTGGACTCTCTTCTTGTGGGTCAAAATGGCTTGTCTCACATTTCTTCCACAGGTTTCCTGGTGCTTTTCTAACACATCATCATATCTGGAAACTTTTTTCAATGTGGAATAAATGATATCATCCCTTATGAACCTTTCCATCATAATGTCATGATACAAATGTTCCTGGGAAATGTCATTCTTTGCAGATGACTCATTGGTTTCTGTTTTACTCTTTGAGTCTGAAATAAATGAAAAGATGCAAATAACTCATCTTCACCGTGTTTTTTTTAATTAATTACAGTAATGGGAATACGATGGAGATTTAGGCAACAATACATAAAGCACATGAGCTTTTGACTATATTTATATATGGTTATGCAACCTGGAGAGGTAATGGGAAATAAAATTTAAGAAACAGTGAATAGATTAAATGTGTCATTCATTTGTAGTAAAACTAGAGTTTTTTAGTACTGTTATTTCTGATAATTCTAATGAACTATTAGTACTATTTAGTACCAATAAATACCAATTCCATTACTAATAAGTAATAAAATTTCAAAGCTGTGTCTTTATGAATATATTTTTTTTTCATTGACACTATTTTTGGAAAACAATCTCAGAAAGATAAAATGTTCCTCTCCCCATTTCAGCAGAATCAGAAGAGACACTGGTTCAAAGACTAGGGTTTAAACTAAGAATATGCACAAGAACATTACACTGTCCTTTATTAAAACTTGTATTTGTATGTATTTAGTTCTGCTTCCTGAGATAGTAATACATCCATGGAAATGTTATTTATGCAAAAAAAATGTTATTTATGTAAGAAATCCAGACAGTTGTATTGCTACTGCTGCTAGGTTCCAGGAAAATATCCTTTAACCTGGTCAACACAGAATAATCATTAGTGCTTTTACATTCCAAATTATAAATGAATAGAAGCATAACAAAGTCTATGCTCTTCAAGTCCCTGATTCTGGTCGGGAATAGGGGAGGAAGAAGAGAAGACAATAGGGAAAGAGAAAAGAAGCCATCTGTGTACCCCTCCCCAATTTAGTATTCAGGCCTGAAGCAGGCCCACAGAAAAGGAAAAACCAAAATTTAACTCTGAATGATATTGGGAGTTTTACTATTTCACTGAATTCAATAAATATTTTACTAAAATCAAGATTGTTCATGTTAGAGACTGGACCATCTATTAGACCTCTTTGAGATTTCATCCAGAATCAGGGCAAGGACATTCAGGGTACCTTTTATTATTATTTTCTTCTTTTGGTATTTTGTTTTGTTTTGTGGTGGTGGTGGGGAGAGAACCCAGGGTCTTGCACATGCTAATGAAGTGTTGTACCACCTAGTGAGTCCCTTATCTCCTATTGTTTTCATTATTACAAGTTGCAGAAGAGAAACCACAGGACAATATACAATTATTAGAATTTATAACAGAGTGAAACAAGGTGGGCTGCCTATAAAAAGTCAATATTAAAAATAAATTGTGTTATTACACACAAGCAACAAGCAGAAAACAATTTTTAAAAATATATCATCTATGGGCTGGGGATGTGGCTCAAGCAGTAGCACGCTCGCCTGGCATGTGTGGGGCGCTGGGCTTGATCCTCAATACCACGTAAAAATAAAATAAAGATATTGTGTCCACCTAAAACTAAAAACTAAATATTAAATGATATATATATATATATATATATATATATATATATATATATCCTATAATAGCAATAAAATGCACAACTTCCAGAATGAATTTTAACAATAATATGAAATATGTACAAGACCTTTATGGAGAAAATCCTAAAACTTTAATGAACAAAAATTTATAATAAATACCAATAAATGGAAAAATATGTCATGTTCCTGGATAGTAGGATTCAATATCATAATAATGTTAATCTTCTCAAGATTGATCTAGATATTTGATTCTGTTTCAATAAAAATGGCAACACAGCATTTGTGTCTGTCATTTAATGCACTGATTATATAATTCATATGCAAAAGCAAGGGGTTCAGTAATAGCCAGGGCAATTTTAAGAAACGAAGTGGGTACACTACTTCTACTAGATAATAGGTCTCATTATGGAATACAGTAAAGGAAGACAGCCTGGAATTAGAGTAGGGATAGAAAATTTTTAAAATGAAATGGAACAGAACGAGCCCAGAAATAGCCAGACACAGTGGCGCACTTCCATAATCTCAGCAGTTTGGGAGGCTGAGGCAGAAGGTTTGTGAGTTCAAAGCCAGCCTTAGCAAAAGCGAGGTGCGAAGCAATTCAGTGAGACCCTGTCTCTAAATAAAATACAAAATAGGGCTGGGGATGTGGTTCAGTGGTCGAGTGCCCTCAAGTTCAATACCCAGTACCCCCCAGCAAAAGAGCCTAGAAATAGACCTAAGCATAGAAACTTGACATGTGACAGAGCTGCACCAATTATCCAACAAATGGTTCCTGGACTAAATGTCCATGTAGAAAAAGTTAAATTAGACTTTTTTTTTAAATCTCATATATAAAATAAATTCCAGATGAATTTCAAACAAATATGAAAAGCAAAACTTTAAAAATACAGACAGGTGCTGTGGTTGTGCTCAGTGGTAGAGTGCTTGGCTAGTGTGTGTGTGTGGCACTGCGTTCAATCCTCAGCACCACATAAAAATTAATAAAACAAAGGTATTCTGCCCATTTACAACTAAAAAACTTTTCTAAAAATATAGGAGTATAAAGGAATATATCATCTACATATAGTATAATGGAGGATAACGGGGCAGTAAAGGGTATCTTACATAATAAAAAGCACACAGAAAAAAACTAATAAATTAAGTAAAATTAAATTTAATAATACATATCCTTTAAAAGACATTTTATTTATTTATTGATTGATTGATTGGTATCGGGGATTGAACCAGGGGCACTTAACCACTGAGCTACACTGAGCCATATCCCCAGTCCCCCCACCTTTTTAATTATTTTTAGTTGTAGGTGGACACAATACCTTTATTTTATTTATTTATTTTTATGTGGAGCTGAGGATCAAACCCAGTGCCTCATGTACGCTAGGCAAGCACTCTACCACTGAGCTACAACCCCAGCCTTATCCAGCCCTTTTTTATTTTGAGATAGTCTCACTAAGTTGCTTAGGGCTTGGCTAAGTTGCTAAGACTGGCTTTGAACTTGTGATCCTCTTGCCTCAACCTCCAAAACGCTGGGAATATGGATATGCAATACTGTGCTTAGCCAAAGACATTATTTTTTAAAAATGAAAGATGGGTCACTGGCTGAGATAAAACATTTATAAAACAAAGCTATGAACAATTAGTATCCAGAATACACACACACATTTTTCTAAAAACTAATTTTTTTTTTAAATATTTATTTTTTAGTTATTGGCGGACACAACATCTTTGTTGGTATGTGGTGCTGAGGATCGAACCCGGGCCGCACGCATGCCAGGCGAGCGCGCTACTGCTTGAGCCACATCCCCAGCCCCTAAAAACTAATTTTAATAAATATAAATAATAGAAAAATTGGCAAAGGATATAATAGGTAATTTACAGAGAAGGAATCTTGGATGGATGTTCAACAAACATGAGAATATGCTTCCTCTCATGACTAATTAGGAAAATGAAAGAAATAATATCATATTCACCCAACTGAATTTACAAAAATTTTCAAGTTTGACAGTGCCAAGTATTGATAGAAATGCTAAGTTCTGGGAACTTTCAAAACCTGATGACAGGAATACAAATTGGTGACACTGCTTTGAAGAGGAACTTGGTAATAACTTGTAAAATGAAGGCATATATATCCCATTACCCAGAAATTTTGCTCTACCAACTACCTTGAAAAAATATTTGAATACATATATGAGCAGTTATGTGCACAAAAGTAGACTGCAGCATCTCTGTAATCTCCAAATTGGAAACAACATAGTATACCAACAGAAAAATGAATAAATTGTGGTTTATTAATTCAATGGAAATGAATAAACTAGAACAACATAGAGTAATATCAACAGTGTTGAACAAGAAAAGCAAGGAAAGGGAGCTGGGGTTATGGCTCAGTGGCAGAGCACTTGCCTGGCATGTGTGAGGCACTGAGTTCGATCCTCAGCACTGCATATAAATAAATAAAAAATAAAGATACATTAACAACTAAAAAATATTTTTTAAAAAATGCAAGGAAAGGGCTGGGGTTGTGGCTCAAGAGGTAGAGCGCTCGCCTCGCACGTGCGAGACCCTGGGTTCGATCCTCAGCATCTCATAAAAATAAACAAGTGAAATAAAGGTATTGTGTCCAACTGCAACTAAAAAATAAATATTTTTAAAAGATGCAAGGAAAGTACATAAATCATTTATTTGAAGAATGTGTAAAACAATGCTGTTGTTTTAGGGATATATGTATGTAATGAAAGTAAGAAGACAAATGGCAACAGTAATATTTAAACAGAAGAGTGGTTATTTTGAAAGGTGGGAGAGGAACAGCAGGGCTTCAACTTTTATTTCTTAATCTGGATGGAGGTTATATAGAAATGTGTTATAATGTTCTCTATGCCTTTCAAAATGTCTAAAATTTTTCATAATAAAAGCGAAGTTCAGGAAAATTGCTACTGGATTGGGCGAGAAGGAATCCTGTGCTATTTTCTCTTACAGGATTATTCAAGAAGTAGCTATTACCAAAAATTAAGACAGGTAAATTAAAAAGAGATGAAAACTGGAACTGGAAAATAAAATGTGGGGAAAAGTGGAAATAGAGTGGAAGAGAGAAAATTAAAGATTTGTACAGACCTGAAAAGAGATCTGTTTTCTGTGGAGAGACCACATACATCTGACTACTTAGAGGAAAGAGCTTTAGGTGGGCAGGACTTAGGATACTGGAGAAAGAAGGAAAATCAACTTTAACCTTACTGAGGACAATTGGAAACAATATAGTATAACAACAGAAAAATGAATAAATTGTGGTTTATGTGTAAACAGTGGGAAAATATGACCAATAATCATATTATTGAGAGACTTTTGCAAGGGCTCAGTGAAGAGAGAGGGGTAAAATTAGGTTTAGTGCATCCCTTGTCCAGTAGCCGGAGTGTTCCTGGCCGCCTGGGAGGGCCTGAGGACTAACCCACATACTAAAAGCTATCATCTCCCTTGGTCTTACCTGAAACATCATTTCCGGGGCCTTCTTTCTGTATCATCCATGGCTCTTCTCCTTTCTCCAACTGGGAAATCACACTAGGCTTGGAAAACTGATATCCTGCATATGAAGTAAAAGAGAAAGAATATGAATATTTATATTTATGTCTAAGTACCATCCTTAGAATTTAGTTCTAGTGTTCTGGTATTCAGGGGCTCTGAGAATGGGAAGGGGCATGTCTTTCTATTCTAGCTCTATAAAGTAAAGCTGATCCCCAAGGAATCATATCTGCCCTGGCTTGGTTTTCAAAGGAATAATACATCTTTAATGCAGAACCCAAGGCCAAGTCTCCAAAGAATTTACAATATTGATAATTTAGAAATAATGACTATTCTATAATGGGCAGGTTTCTGGATATATGAATGACCCATCCTTACCCACTGACACCAGATTCCTGTAGTTCTCCAGCATCACATCCCGGTACAAATTCCGGTGAGTAGGGGCCAAATGCCCCCACTCCTCCTGGGTAAAGTCCACAAATATGTCCTTGAAGGTCAACAGTTCCTAGAACATCAAACATTCCTTTTCAGTAGAGTCCAAGGATTTCTGACATTTTCAAAGTTTTGGGAGATTCCAAACCAATTTTACCAGGGGCCTCCCTGGATGTGTTTTGAAATTACTGTAAATACTTAAATATGTAGGACATATGATCATACATGCCTTAGAAAAAATTAAGCAGATCAGAGGAAATAGGGAGACCCAAAGTGAGTGTAAAAATGATCTTTTGTGTAGGGTACTTATAGAAAGTTGCTTTGAAAGGATGATATTTGGCCAGAGAGATGAATTTAGTGAGGAAGAACCATGAGGAAATCTGTGGGGAGAGCATTCCAGGGAGGTGTAAAGAACCTCAGATGAGAACATTCTTTTTTTGGTGGGCAGGAGAGCGGGTACTGGAGATTGAACTCAGGGGCACTTGACCACTGAGCCACATTTCCACTCCTATTTTATTTAGAGACAGGGTCTCACTGAGTTGCTTAACACCTTGCTTTTGCTGAGGCTGTCTTTGAACTCGAGATCCTCCTGGGATTACAGGCCGCTGGCGCCTGGTGAGAACATTCTTAGCTTATTTGAGGAACAGAAGGTAAAGAGCATGGATGGAGGTAGGTTAGGGAAGGGGACTGTAGAAGAAGATGAGATCAGAAGGGGTAGGGAATGGGGGTAGGACAGGCACTTCTGCTCCCAATACTTTCATCAAATACCTATGCGTTCTTGCTGAGCTTGAATTCTGGGGCCCAGATGGAGTTTAGTCCAAGATGGACAAATGTCTGGAAATGTAGTCTAACCCCTTCCTAGCTTAAATATTGAAAGATAAAAAAAAAAGACTGCCCCTTAGTGGTGGTGAGAAGCATTGGCAATGAGGCAAAATTCAATCAAATTAAAGATGTATCACTGCCAGAGCTCAGTCACAGCTCCAGAAAGAATAAGAATAATCAGCCCCTCATCTTAACCAACTGATAGAGGAAAGAACTTAGAATATCTTATAAATACAATAAAACAAAACAAAACAAAAACCTATCTATCTATACACACACACTCCCCTCATATTCCACTGTTTTTATATATATAGTTTTTTTTTTTTTTAATTATTAGACACTGGATGTGGTGGCACATGCCTATAATTCCAGCAACTTGGGAAGCTGGGGCAGGGGGATCCCAAGTTCAAGGACAGCCTCATTAATTGAGCAAGGTCCTAAGCAACTTAGTGAGACTCTGTCTCAAAATTAAAAGGGTTGGGAATGTAGCTCAGTGGTTAAGTGACCCTGGGATCAATTCCCAGTACCAAAAAATTAAACAAACAAGTAAATAAATAGATGTGTAAACAAGGGGGAAATATGACCAATAATCAAGAAAATAAAAATCAAAACAAACAGACACACAGATAATCCAGTCACTGAAATTACCAGATAAGAACTTCAAAGCAATTATTTAAATATATGCTAAAGAATTTACAATAAAATATAGATAGAATGGATAAAGAGATGGAAATAACTTTAGAGAGATACAGAAATGCTAGAAAAGAAATAAAAATTCTACAAATGAAAAATACAATGTATGAAAAATTCATTTAATGGCCTTAAAGTAGACAAGGTAAATGAAGACAAGCTCAGTGAAACTTAAAAATGAGTCAATAGATATTGTCAAACTAGAGCAGTAAGAGAAAAAAAAAAAACTTGTGGGTTAATATCAAATGATATAATTGAAACCTCAGAAGAAGAAAGCAAAATATTTAAAGAAAAAGTAGCTGAAAAACTTCTAAACTGATGGTACTTACAAATTCAAGAAGCTTAGCAAACCCCAAAAGGGATAAATAAACACCTACCCACCCCCCAAAAAAACCCCACACCTATGTATATCACAGCAAAACTGCTGAATAACAAAAATAAAGGTGAAGATTGTAAAAGCAGGCGAAAGATCTGGAACCCAAGTGGAGTTTAGTCCAAGATAAATGCCTATCAGGAGAAAAGATGGTAAGAAAAGGGAAACAAAAAAAAGCAATAAAAAAATTGGTATGAAACAAAGACACATCACACAATGATAAGAATAACAGGCAACTCCTCATCAGAAACAATACAAGCTAAAAAATAATGGAACCTTTTTAAAATACTTAAAGAAAAAATAACCTAGAATTCTAAATCCAATAGAGGATTCTCAAATAAGAGAAAATATTAAGGCCTGTTTAGATTAACAAAAACTGTACAAATTGGTCACCAGAACACTTACACTACAAGACATGATAACGTTTTTCAGATTGAAGGGAAATAAACTCCAGAAATTTGGAACAAAAGGTTTAAAAAATGAAGAGTACCTGAATTAGTAAGTAGGCAAATACAAAAGACTCAGGTTATTTTTTTGCTTTTGTGGTTTTCAACTAAGAATTGAACCTAGGAGTGCTCTACCACTTAACTACATCTCCAGTCCTTTCTATTTTTTATTTTGAGATAAGGTCTTGCTAAATTGCTGAGGCTGGCCTTGAATTTATGATCCTCCTCCTGCCTGAGCCTCTGGAGTCACTGGGATTACTGGGATTACAGGCATGTGTCACTGTGCCTAGCCCCCAGCTCTTCTTTTTATTTTTTATTTTGAGACTTTCTAAATTGCTGAAGCTGGCCTAGAACTTGTGATCCTCCTGCCTCAGCCTCCTGAGTTCATGGGATTACAGGTGTGTGCCACCATACCTGGTTTCTTAATTTTTAAATAAGACAATTTACCATCTTTTTGCTTTTGCAAAAATGCAAACAATGTATTGTGGGGTTTGTAACACATAAGGTAGAATATGTGATGATGACAGAACAAAGAATAGGAAGCAGTAAATGGAAATATGTTTTCATAGTAACACGTGATGCCGTATGTTAATTCAAAGCAACTGAAATAAATTTAAAAATGCATACCATGATAGAATGACCACTAAAACAAACAAACAAAAAAAAATGTAGCTTAAAAGTCACTGGAGTGGCTAAGTGTGGTGGTAAATGCCTGAATCCCAGTGGCTTGAGAGGCTGAGGCAAGGAGGATCACAAGTTCAAAGCCAGCCTCAGCAATTTAGTGAGGCCCTAAGCAACATAGCAAGACCCTGTCTCAAAATAAAAACATAAAATAAAAAGGGCAGGGGATGTGGTTCAGTGGTTAGGCACACCTGGGTTCAATCCCTAATACAAAAAAAAAAAAAGTCACTGGAGGACATAAAATGGGATACTCAGAAATAATTTAATCCAAAAGAAGGCAGGAGAGAAGGAACAAAGAAAAAAAGAACAGAAAGGACAGTAGCAAAGAACAACCTACACTTAGACCCATCCATAATAATGATTACTTTAACTATAAATAGACTAAACTAGCAAGACCCACCCACATTTAAGAAGGTCACACTTTAACTATAAAGACACCAATAGTTTTAAAAAGGAGGACATTTTAAGGCTGGGGTTGTAGCTTAGAGGTAGAGTGCTTGCCTTGCATGCGTGAGGCCCTGGGTTTGATCCTCAGCACCATATAAAAATAAACCAAATAAAAATAAAGATATTTTTTAAAAGTTATGTATTTATAATTTAAAATTTTTAAAAAGGAGGACATTTTAAACAAGATCAGGTGCATTCAGGATGGTATGGCCATAAATCAGAGGGATATTTCATAATAATAAGTGCATCAATACAAAAAGACAACAATCGTGTTTATGCATCTGATGACAGACTTCAAATAAATAAAAGTTGATAGAACTAAAGAGATACAGATAAATCATGATTACAGATTTTTTTTAAAAAATTATTTAGTTGTTAACAGACCTTTATTTTATTCATTTATTTACATGCAGCATTGAGAATCGAATCCAGTGCCTCACACATGCAAGGCAAGTGCTCTACCACTAAGCCACAACCCCAGCCTCATGATTATAGATTTTAATATCCTCTCAGTAATTGATAAAAACTGACAAAAATTCATCAAGGATATAGAAGATTTGAACATTACCATCAAATAGTTAACTGATATTTATCGAATACCATAAACAATTACAGAATATATATTCTTTTTTTTTTTTAACAATACCTTTATTTCACTTATTTATTTTTATGTGGTGCTGAGGATCAAACCCAGGGTCTTGCACTCTACCACTAAGCCACAACCCCAGCCCCTATATTCTTTTTTTAAATTAAACTCTTTTAAGACATTTGTGGGACTGGGGTTGTGGCTCAGTGGCAGAGTGCTCACCTAGCACATGTGAGGCATTTGGTTTGATCCTCAGCACCACATAAAAATAAAGGTATTGTGTCAACTAAAAAATATTTTTAAAAAAAGACATTTGTGGATTTATATGCAGTTATAATAAGTAATACAAATTTCATGTATTCCTTATGAGGGCTGGAGCAGAGTACTAATTGGAAAGCACAAGAAGGAATTTTCTGAGATGGAGGCAATGTTCTCTTTATTAATTTGATTACATGGGTACATGCACATGTCAAAATAGAATATATTTCCTAAATGTATTTTCCTGTATGTCATTTATACTTCAATTTAAAAAAAATTTAATCCTTTCCCATCGCTAAGGAATCTACTTTTTGATAAATATTAGGAAGTGAGGGATTCCAGATATGTGGAATGTAGAGAAAAGATGATTCTTTAAATAATTAATCTATTATTTAACTAACTATGATTTCTTCCATATTACCATAAATAACTGGAATGAATTTTAACCCTAGAAGGCAGACATTAGCATCTAAATTTCTTAGCTAAGGAAATGGATTGTAAAGAGCCAAAAGAAAAAAAATTGCCCTAGACACCAAGCAAGGAAGATGAGAGAAAATCAAACTGTGCACCATCTAATATCAGATAAAATCAAATCCAATATCATCTAAATTCAGATTTAAAGTTCTTTTTACTTAAAACTCTTCTGTTGGGCTGGAGTTGTGGCTCAGTGGTAGAGTGCTTGCCTAGCATGCATGAGGCACTGGGTTGGATGTAAAATAAAGATATTGTGTCCACCTAAAACTAAAAAATAAATGTTAAAAAAACCCAAACTCTTCTGTCTCCAATAATACCTCTGTAAAAGTCTTTTAATTTCCTTCTGTTTTACCCATGTTTCCACCAGATGGTGAAGACCCCATTTCTGACATGCTATCCTAACTGCTCTTAAAGCTGCTCCTGCTCTTTGCCCCACTTCAAAGATGTGGCCATTTCTTCTCACTATGCCAAGGGTCATCTCTTACAGAGTTCACAGTGATATGGATATATCACTAAGAATGTCAGAATTTCATCTCACTTATGGATTTTGAATATTATATTGACATTTATCTTAGATCCCAAGTAAAATCCATTGGTTTTTAGGAGCTGGAAATATCACTCATTATGCTTTCTCTACAAAAAATAGCACAATATCAGATCAAGATGCTGGTGAGAAACAAGAGTTGCAGGAAGGCCCCTATGAGCAGAGATACTGTCACCACAGAAGCTCAGTTTCTGAATGAGAGCAACTTGCATAGTTGAACTTGTTTGTCTCAACCCACTCACTTCTCCCAAAACAGACAGGTTAAAAAACAAGAAGCATTATTAAGAAAATGAGGAAGCTCCAACCCACCTGGGGTTCTGCTGTCAGGAGGTCAGGGGTCAATTCATCCTCTAGACTTTCTTCCTGGGTCTCAGCAGCATCCTGAGACAGCAGAGCTAGGGAATAAAAAGAACTATGAATTTTGCATCTACTCAAATCTCTCAAATGCAAGAACGCTCTGTAGACCCACTGACTCTTCCCAAAAAAATATTCACAAAAGGGGACATCTAGGGCTAGGATTGTGGCTCAGTGGTAGAGTGCACACCTAGCATGCTTGAGGCACTGGGTTCAATCCTCAGCACCACATAAAAATAAAATGAAGATTGTGTTGTGTCCATCTAAAACTAAAAAATAAAAAAAAAGGTGGGGGGACATCTAGAATGACTCAAAGGAGCCCAAAATTCCTTAGTGAGGAGGACCTGCAGTGTGTTGCTTTGGGTATTGATACTTCCCAATGGTCAAAAGCACAAATCTTTCAGGCCACTTCTTTGTTCTAAAATCCTCAAAGGGTCTCCCACAGATAAGAAAGGAAAAATTCAAACATTTCACCATGGACTTCAAGGCAGTCTATGATCTGCCCAAAGCTTATTTTCTCAGCAGTGGTTACCTCCAAACTACCAACCTTTATACCTGGGACACCACCCACTTCACATTCTTAACCCTCATTTAGACTAAATAGTCCCCATTCTCTAAACCTCTCTTCAAAGTACCCACTTTTCTATACTTCCTCCAAATCTTCTATAAAAAGCTTCAGATATTTTTCCAGACTCAACTCAATGCTATCTGATTTATATTTCCTCAGGATTCTAAAAGAGCTTTTCTTAGCCTATCTTCTATTATTTTGATCTGGTCGTATATCTATCTACTCTTTCAACTAATAATCAGCTTTAGAGATAATTCTTCTTCTTCTTCTCCCTGCCCCCCAATCTCTCAAGATGCTTAGCCAAAGTCCCTGTCTGACATAGATGGAATACAATAAAAATACTGGCTGGATATGAAGTATTAGAGGTATGAGAACATCACATGAGACACATGAATTCCTCTCTCCATATATCTTCTCCTGACCAGACCACTAAATAAGGTGGGTATGTCTTAGACATGTCTCCTGCCTAATTCACATAGTTCAAGGTAATATGAGAGGAATCAGGCATGTTATTCCTGCCTCTCGGAGGGGGAGGGGTGGAAATCTGATGCTTGTCAAAAATATTGGTTAAATATTTTTAACCAATAAATGGCTAAAATGACTAGAACTTGAGCTGGAAAACCCTTCGGAGGACTTAAGAGTCAGAACCCTTTGATCCCTCTACATGTGAATCACATTCCCACACTTAAGAGCCAGAGGTGGGGAACAACTCTATTCTAGCTTCCCCTCATGTATTTTATCTGATGCCAGGAGATGGGAGCAGCATGGAGCACATATTGAAAAAGAGCCTGAGATGGGAGCCCAATATTTTCTCTCCCAGCTAGACTACTCCCAAAAGCCACGAGCTCAGCACAAGTGAACCCCCTGAAAGACCTTCCTTCCTCCAATTTTCTCCCCAAGAAACAACCTCAACGAAGTACATCTGTTCACATAAATGAGACCTCCTTCTTCCCCCTCCTTCAGTCTATTCTCACCTTCTTCTTCAAACATTTTAGTCACATCCTCCCATGAGGGCGCCTCCCCCTTGGCCTTCCTTGGATGGTGTAACTTCACCCAGGTACTGGCCTGGGGCAGGGTGATCAGGAGCTGCTGAGGCATGATGATGCACGACCAACTGGCGTTGTCCACTTCTGGTGAGGAAATTGCCAGAATCTCCAATGAGAGGCTTGGCAATTGCGTGGTCTTTCTCAGACTGCAATCTTCTGCCCTCGGGGCTTTGGCATGTCCCTGCAGGACTAGGACCTGGAGGACCCTAGAGGTTGGAGTGACTTTAACAACTCTGAAAACTGGACACCATTTTTTGGGAGGCAGTCAGGTGAGTTGGTTTGAGTACATGGCTTTGTAATCATTCTAGAGGAACAAAAGACAAGAAAAAAGAAATCCAGAAACACTTTCATATGGCCAGAACTCCAGAACCTGCAGAAATATATTTTAAAATGCAAAAGATCTAATACAATGGTGCGGCATCAATGCAAGAGTAAGTATAATCAGATTTCTTGGATGTAGCTTCCACCTCCCGATTCCACAAAAACACAAAGACAGGCAAACACCCAAAGATGCACAAACATCTGCCTTGATTTCCCACCTTGTAAGCTACATGCATATTCTGCTTGGATCCAGATTTGGGAGTCAACACAGGCTTTGAAACCAGACAGCCTGGCTAGAACCCAGACACTAGCCAACAAAAGCTCTGAGGCACTTCAATTCTGTGAAGTGAAAACTGAGGTGCTTCAGTTTGCTCACCTATAAAATAGGAATAGTAATTGCATTTTTGTAGCAAGCCCTTATAAACCTTTTATTTTATGCTGCGTCATACCATTATTTTTTAAAGTTATTTTTAAAAAACAATTTGAAATATGCATGTAAAGTTCATTTTTAGTATCTCAACTGATGGAATAATCACATAGCTGTTTTAGCCGAGGCAAACAGTGACAGACACATCATCACCCGTGAAGCCTAACAACTGATAAAATGCATCCTGGGTTCAGAAATGTTAAATTGGGGGAGGGGTTAATACTTAAATGGAAGAAATATAGTACTTTAAGTTTAACGAGGGCTCCTGCAGAATTATTGGTAGCAGGCAGATTTGAAAACAACCCAAATCAACTCATCCAACCACTGGCATCTAGGCAGGTACCTCCACCATGACCAGGTCCAGTGTATCTGGAGTCCTCAAAACAGCTGGGTGGAAAAGGGGGTGGCCCAGGCTAGGGTTGTAGCTCAATGGTAGAGCGCTTGCCTTGCATGTGTGAGGCACTGGGTTGATCCTCAGCCTCACATAAAAATAAAGAGGGCCCGGTTGGGGCTCAGCGGTAGCGCACTTGCCTTGCATGTGTGAGGCACTGGGTTCGATCCTCAGCCCTACATAAAAATAAGTAAAATAAAGGTCTATCAACAACTAAAAAATATTTTTTAAATAATAATATATAAATAAAGATACTGTGTCCATCTACAACTAAAATATTTTAAAAAGGTGGGGGCGGGTGGCCCGACTTTCTTAAGTTGGTGGAGAAGAGACTTATTAACTACGTGCGTCCTTAGAGACTGGAGATTATAGGAAATATCCTACCCTTGAATATTAAAAAAGGACCTCTATGGGCTGGGGATGTGGCTCAAGCAGTAAAGCAATTGCCTGGCATGCGCAGGGCGCTGGGTTCGATCCTTAGCACCATATAAAAATAAAGATATTGTGTCCACCTAAAACTAAAAAATAAAAATTAAAAAAAAAAGGACTCCTTATGGAAGTACAGAAACTTTGGACTCGTCCCTAAGAAGCGGTTAATGACGCGCACCCTCACAGGTCTCCCATATAGGCCAGCCCGGAAAAGAGAGGTAGACCAGCAGAGGAGTACTCACCAGGTGGGCCTTGGACGCCGGGAGGGCCAGGGTTGGGACGTGGGGACGCTCACTCCGGAGCCTTTCTGCTGCAGAGGTCTCTAGAGAAGGACTGGGTGGTAATAGATTCTGTTCTTTCCCACCCTTTTACGGACCGTCCACAACGTCCAGCGTTCGCCTAGACGTCCTTCCGAAGCCCGGAGGGCCCTCGGCCTCCAGACTGGACCAGGCTTTCTTCCAAATTTCCATCCAGGGCCCTCTAGGATGGGTGGCTTTGCCAGCCGCACCCCCGGCGGCTTTGGGGCTGGAATGGGAGGGCGCCCTGAACCGGCGCAGACTGTGGCTTTAGTGCCCGAGACAGCGGCCACGGCCAAGTGCACCCGGCCTCTGAGGCCGAGCGCCCCGTCTTGCAGCGCCTGCGCCCCGGGACGCGCCCTCCAGGTGGCCAGCGATGCCCGCAGCCCGCTGCCCTGCCCCAGCCGGCCCGCCCACCCAACGGGATCCGCTCAGTCCCGGACCTACGCCCGCGCGTCTCGCCCCGGCTCCGCAACCCACTGCCCGCCCTCTCCCGAGCCAGCGCGCGCCCGAGCACCCGGAAGCCGGAAGCCGCCGAGCGCCCGGGCTCGCGTCCGCGGCCACCCAGACCCTGGGGGCGGCGACCTACGAGGCCACCCCCTTGTTGCCCCGGCCCGGCCGCTGGGCCCCCAAAGCCGGCAGGTTGATGGGGAATCCTGGCGTCCTGCGTTCATTCACTGGCCCAGCAGCTCTCTTCCTGGTGCTTGTGACCCGCCACGCGTCCTTACAAGATCTTAGGACGCAGCACAGAATGCACGCTTTCCTGCTCTTTTGAGACTTCATTCTGGTGAAATTAGTAATAAGTAGGAAAATAAATCAATGATGCCCTCAGGTGATAGCAGGAGCCTCAGAAAATAATTACATTATTTTCTGGAATACATGTTTTAAGTTTAAAGAGATATGTATTAGTTTGCTAAGGCTGCCATTAAAAAAAAAAAATATATATATATATATATATCTATCTCACACATCAGGTGGCTTAACCCACAGAAATATATTTTCTCAAACTTCTGGGAGTTAGTTTGATTTCTCCTGCGGCCTATCTCCCTTGGGTTGCAGATGGCTGCTTTCTTTCTGTGTCCTCACAAGGTTTGTGTGTGTGTGTGTGTGTGTGTGTGTGTAGCATGTGCATACATGTGTGTATGTGTACTGTGTACTATGTGCACGTCCCTGTGCCCTTGGTGTGTCTGTGTATTCATATTATCCTTAAAGAAAAGAGGAACATTAAAACATTATGTTCCTGAGTGCTGTCTTCATATTCCCCAAAATCTAGCCACGTTAGGGAACAATGAGAGCAAGCCTGGGCCAATTGAATGTCCAGATACATATTACATTGAAGGACATTGACTTATGCACACCAGGAACTAGGGCAAGTTAATGTTAACTGTAAGAGCTTCTTTTCTTGCATGTACATCATGACAGTTGCTCCTTGGGAGCTGGCCATACAAGCAAACTAAGCAAGATAATGCTGATAATGTCACAGCTTCTGCAGCTTAACATGTAAAATCCCTCTTTCAGTGGTAACTGGGAAAGAACTGAGGGCACTGTGGGGATGGACACCTGTCACTCATGCAGCTGGCCACGACCAGACAAAACACCATGAGGAAGAGGTGGCACTGTTTGGCAGAAGTACAGTGGGGGTTGGAGTGCTATCTGTTCAGCCAATGGCTACTGGAACTTTCCTGTAAACATTTCTCAATAAAGTCTTATGCCTTGGCTCTTGGCAACCTATCTCACTGCTCTGGCAAAACTGGGCCATAGATGTGATAGTATCTAAATTTCCTCTACTTATAAGGTCACCATTCAGATTGGATTAGAGCACATGCAAATGCTAAATTTTAACTTAATTACCTCTTTAAAAGCCAAGTCTCTGAATACAGATGGATTATGAGGTAATGGGGATTAGGGTTTCAACATATAGATTTGGCAGGGGAGAATAAAATAGAGCCATAACAAGGCATCTAAGAGATGGCAAGGCAGTAGGGAATTACCAGACCAAACCTGGAAAGCTAGCATCCGGGAAGGTAAAGAAAGGCAGAAGCTGTTTGGCCCTGTCAGCTGGAAAATTATAACCTTCCTTTTGCACTTCAAAGAAAAAAACTTAAACACAACAAAATGGGGAGAGAAATAGGAGGAGGTCCTTCTAAAAACTGGACCACAAAAATTTATATCCTTAGAATAAGGATGAATAAGAAGTGAAACAGCTTTAGAGATATTTGCAGGCTGGAATCAACTTTCCTTTGTTTTTTTGGCTTCAACAACAGGTATTTTATTTTTCACAGTTTTGATACTTGGGAAGTGCAAGATATGTGTCTGGTGAGAGTTCTCTCCTTTTTTAAAAAAATCTTAAGTCATGATCTTTGTTTTAGTCAGCTTTTTTGCATTGTGACTAAAAGATCTGACAAACATTTTGGAGGAGGAAAAATTTATTTGGAGGCTCAAGGTTTCAGAGGTCTCAGTCCATAGACAGCAGGCTCTATTCCTCAGGGCTTCACAGGGGAAGAGTGTGGTGGTGGGAGGAAGCAGCTCACATGATGATCAGGAAGGAGAGAGAGAGAGAGAAAGAGAAAGAGAGAGGGGCTCCACTTGCCAGACACAAAATGTGTACCCCAAAGGCATGCCCCCAATCACCCACCTCCTCCAGCCATACCCTACCCACCTTCAGTTACCACTCATTTAATTCCCATCAGTGAATTAACTTACTGCTTAGGTGAGGGATCTCATAACCCAATTGTTTCTCCTCCAAATCCCCTTGCATTGTCTCACACACAAGCTTTTGGGGGACACCTAACATCCAAACCACAACTAGAATGTCAGTAGGACTGCAGACAGTAAAGACAGCACTCAAGAGGGTTCAGAGAAGGAGGACTCTATTAAAATTTGAAGTAGAGGCCATTCACGTTATGTTCTGGCTGAGAAGTTGTCTACATTTGGTCCATGTCCTGAGACTTTCTGTGAAGTTGATTTTAAAAGCAATGGACTTCTTAATCTGGTGGAAGAAATTTCTAAGAAGCATAGCATTCAGGCAGTGGCATGGATAGTGCTGGAGGCTTTTAGCCAAAGTTTATTTTGATATTCAGGAGAAGGCAGAAAAGAAAGATTTGAAAAACTTGGACTTCAAAGGCAGGAGTAAAACTGGGGCTAAGGAAGTTGCAAATGATAAAGACATTACAGCCACTAAGGAATGCTAAAGACTTTGCCCCCAAATAATAAAACAGATGGCTTGAGGGTGTCTCAGGAGCTGGTAAGACCACACCCATCTCAGGCTCAGGGAGTAAAAGTAAAAAAGAGATCAAAGGGGCATCCTTGCACTAGGAGGCCTAGGAAGTTTTTTCAACATGCTCAGCCACCCAGACACTCAGAGGCTGCTGCAGTCAGGGTCCCTGGAAACTTTACCACTGCTCCAGATGGTGGCAATCTTGGTGGCAACCATGTGGTGATGGTTCTGCAGGAATGCAGGATGCTGGAGTTAGGGAATCATGGGGGCTTCCAAGATTCCAAAGGAAGGTCTGGGAGGCCAGGCACAGTGCAGCAGGGTTGGAGTCCCCATGGACACCCTCTGAGAGGACAAAGTGTGGAGATGTGAGGAGGAAGCCAAAGCTGTCCCAGAGACCCCTGAGATTAAGAAATGCCAGTAACATGGGACTTCATCCTAGGAAAGCTACAGGAATTAAACAGAGACAAGCCAACAGAAAGGACACTTGGGCTGCAACCAACAAAGCCATGAGGCAGAGCTACACAAGTCCTTTGGACATAATATCACCGTGTCATGTGCCCCAGATGCCAGACATGGAGCTATAGGACTTGTTCGCCAGTAATGCCTTGGTCCTATCCCTTCTTTCTCTACCCATATTTTTCTTTCTTTTTTTAATATTTATTTTTTTAGTTTTTTTAGGTGGACACAATATCTTTATTTTACATTTATGTGTTGCTGAGAATGGAACCCAGTGCCTCACACATGCTAGGCGAGTGTGCTACCACTTGAGCCACATCACCAGCCCCCCATATTTTTCTTAATGAAAATATTTACTCTATACCTTTACATATTGCATATTTTTAAATCATTTTTTATTTCTTCAGGAGCTCATGATGCAAGTTTGCCTTGAATCCCAGAGACTTTGGACTTGAACTTTTGGGCAGTTCTGGAACTGTTGAGACATTGGGTGAAGGGAAAGTGAGGAACAAGAGATGGGTAAGCAGAAATGAAAGACAGAGACAAGGCAGAGTTACAAACGAGAGTTTATTTGTCAGAGCTAACAAATAAAGGCTATTTCTCTATAGGATAGAGAGGCAAAACAGGCTTGAGGTTTGGGACTTTTATGGGGGAGGCTCAGAAATCAGAGCTGAACAGGTCCTAATGTGGGCAGTCAGGGGTTGGTTGGTATGAGGAGTTTCTTTCTCAGAAACTCCCAAGGGTGGGAAAGTGAAACTTTTTCCTTAAAATGGCGGCTATCACTAAAGATGGCCATCCAGATGCTAAGCAAGGACCTTATATTTGGGACTTTTGTTAATGGGCTAAATGTATTTTGCATTGTGAGATAGTCATGAACTTTTGGGTGCAAGGGGCAGAATATTATGGTTTGGATGTGAGGTGTTCCCCAAAAGCTGTGTGTGAGACAATGCAAGAAGGTTTGGAGGAGAAATGATTGGGTTATGAGATCCCTCACCTAAGCAGTGAATTAATTCACTGATGGGAATTAAATGAGTGGTAACTGAAGGTGGGTAGGGTGTGGGCTGGAGGAGGTAGGTGATTGAGGGCATGCCTTTGGGGTACACATTTTGTGTCTGGCAAGTGGAGTCTCTCTCTCTCTCTCTCTCTGTCTCTCTGTCTCTCTCTCTCTCCTTCCTGATCATCATGTGAGCTGTTTCTCCCTACCACCACACTCTTCCCCTGTGATGTTCTGCCTCACCTCAAGCCCTGAGGAATAGAGCCTGCTGTCTATGGACTGAGACCTCCGAAACCTTGAGCCCCCAAATAAACTTTTCCTCCTCCAAATCGTTCTTGTCAGGTCTTTCAGCCACAGCTGTGAAAAAGTGACTAAAACAATCTCAGTTTACAAGTTCATCTCTGTGGTTTTACCAGGTGCCTGATAAAATATAAACCACCTGTAGAGAAAAGCATTGAAGGGCTGGGGATGTGGCTCAAGCGGTAGCGCACTCACCTGGCATGCGTGTGGCCCCGGGTTCGATCCTCAGCACCACATACAAAACAAAGATGTTGTGTCCGCCGATAACTAAAAAATAAATATTAAAAAAATTTTTTGAAAAAAAAAAAGAGAAAAGCATTGTTATTTGTGTTAGGTAGTAACTTGCAATGAGCAGTGAAATGCATAGCAAATTCATAAGTGTTCTTTAAATTACATTAGGGTCTT